AGGCACGGCAGGCATCAGGCCATTGCAGAGCCGAGACCCGACGGCGGCCTTCGCCCTGGTGGGGGATGCAGAGATGCCAAGAAGTTCATGTATCAGCCCGGATCTCCTGGTTTGAGCAGTGGGCTCCAAGGGGCTGACACTTAGTGGAGGTGAGGGAGAGCAGTTTTGTTGGGGAAATCAGGGGTTACATTATGGTCATCAATCTGGAGATGCTAATAGACATCTGAGAGGAGATGACAAGTAGGCCCTTAGCCATAGGAGCCTGGAGTTCAGGGAGAGGCCTAGCTGTCCACATTGAGATGGTATTTGAAGATGGGGGGCAGGTGTCCCCTTAGAGAAAGCATGAAACTGCACTTAAGTCAGTGGCCTACAGAGCAAATAAGAGGATGGCAGGTGTGAGATCACACCATCGGTGGAAATTGTGGAGGTTTGAAAGCCATCCTTACTGTAGTCAACAGAAGACAGAGAGGAAAGAAGGTTCCAGAAGAGATGAGAATAAGAAAGTGAGCAGCAGCTGGGGTGTGGAAATCCCTTGTAGTGATGCTGAGAGTTGGGGTGAAGGAAGCCAGATTGTGCAGTTGAAGTTGCTGAAGAATGGTTGGCAGTGACAGGGAACTTTCTAGATGTGGCAGTGAGGAGTTGGGGGCCATGGCCATGCTAGGGGTGTTTACGGCTAGGAGGGCTAATAAACAGAATTGGGGAAACTGGAGGGTCCCCCCAAAGCTGCAAGAAAGTCATGTCCCTGGGCGCCAGCCAGGGCCCTGCTCACTGTGAGGAGCTGAGGGCATAGTGGGGTTTGCTGATCGTACAGGAGTTCAGGGAGTTGCATGGGAGGGCTGGGTGGGAGCCAGGGCTAGGGGCAAGGGTCAGAATGTGGGTGGCAGCTTGGAAGCCAGAGCTGTCATCCCTTGGCGGGACGCAGTTTAGTCATTTGGAAGAGAGCTGTTGGTTCACTGGGATGGGCATGGATGGCCAGATCTCAGAGGAGGGCCAGCACTTGGAGGGAACCTTGGCGGTGACTGAGTCCTGCGCCTGGCGGTTGCCCTGTGGGCTGTGCTAACAAGGTGGGGCATCGCCTGCTGGTTGTGAACCCCTCACTTGCCAGTTGGAAGCTGCAGTGCTCTAACCACTCCAGGCCTTGTAAGGTGGCCCCCAGGAGCGGTGCCCTACTCAGGGTTCCACACTGTGTCCCGGTGCTGAATTGTGTGCAAATGCGTCAAGTGCGCTTTTTTTTTTTTAAGAATGGGTTGAGGACAGTTATCCATGCACAGTAGTTGCAAACTCCTGGTGCTGGTTGTAGTGTGGAAAAAGTGTTGTGGAGACGCGTGGTGATAAGGTGAGGGAACTGAAGAAACAGAAGGCCTGGATTAGCTGGTGGATGAACCAGAGCAGACCTGGCAGCTCTGAGGTGGGAAGCCTGTGCCACCCGGGCCCGCAGCGTTGGACCCCAGGGCAGAGAGGGTGGAGGGAGCTGGGGAGCCCTGGTGAGGGGCCAGGTGGCCCGCACTGCTGTGGGCTTCCCTTGGCCTGGAAAGAACAGGTAGCAGATGAGATGGGAACGGATGAAAAGTGGGTTTTTAGTGAGTTTTAGGAACAAAGTTGCAGAGGCATGAGGAAGGAAGATTCTAGCTGGAGAGTTGGCACCCATGTTCAGTGTGATCTGGCTGCAGGCCACTGCAGGGCTGAGGGTGGTGAGCCTCTACTCTGTCTGCGATGGCCCATGCCGGGTGGGTTCCTGTGACACCTGGGCCCCGGCACCACAATGCACTGGGCACGTGTTTGGTCATGGGGATTCCCAGTAGTGTGTGGGTAGCTGTGCCCTGGAGGAGTTCCAGTCTGTGGTGAGACAGGGGAAATGCAGGGAGGAAATGCTGCCGCTGTGGGTGTCGTGGAAGGGAGAGGGTGACACTGGAGAGGAGGGCACAGGAGGAGGTTGAGGGCAACAGCTCATTCACAGTGGTCTGGAGCTATTAATGGGAATTAGGTGTCGATTGATACAAGGCTCATGTCTAATGCTTCAGTTGAGGTGGTGACACATAATTGAGGCCCCTGTCAGAGTAGGCTTGCCATCAGCTGGAGACAGAAACCCCAGCCCCTGATGGTATGTATAGGACTCACCTGGGCCTTTACAGATCTGGGCAGTGAAAGGAGTTGGGAGGTTCCTTAAATTAAGAGTCATGGAGAAAGAAATTTGCCCAATCCAGTAACTTAGTCTGTCAAAGTTACGAGAGACTTTCTAACGGGGTCCAAATGTGATCCCTTAGGAGCCCTATCACGGTCATGGCTGGTGTTCATCGGTGGGACTTTGTACGCTCAGCACAACCTCAGTGAGTCCTCGGCAGCCTTGGGAGGTGTCCTGATGGGTTAGATGGCTGGTTCAAGGTTATACAAACAGACAATGGTAAAGTCTAGATCTGGTGGGGGATTTCCACTGGAGAAACATCAAGCAGAATATTTTTCATTATTAAACTTATAAAACTTGTGAAACAGTTGTAATGTAAATGTTACCATCTCACTGATTTTTAAGTGTGTAGCTCAGTAGTGTTAGGTTCACACTGTTGTGCAACTGAGCTCCAGGACTCTTGTCTTGCATTCGTGTTTCATTAGACAGCAGCTCCGTATTTCCCCTTTCCTCCCGGCCCCTGGCAACCACAGTTCTTTTTGTCCCTCTGAATTTGACCACGGTAAGTCCTTCATGTAAGTGGACTCACACAGTATTTGTCCTTGTGATGCTTTCACTTTACATTCCCACCCTCAGTGTGCAAGGGGGTCCATCTTCCCACATCCTTGCCAACACTTGCTATTTTCTGGGGTTTCTTTGATAGTGGCCATCCTTATATGTGTGAAATAGTGTCTCCTGGTTTTGATTTGCATTTTCCTAAAGATCAGTGATGCAGAGCATCTTTTCTTGTGCCAGCAGAATTTTAAAGAGGGCCTTTCAGGCCAGGGTGTCATCATCTGGCTACAACCCAGTGCTAATTGCCTGAGCATTTTCTGCAGGGAATAACTAGGATAAATGGCCCAACACATTTCAAACCTGTTTAGTGGTAAAACTCACAGATTTATACTTTTGTTTTGAAAGGAAATTGAGACCTAGACATAGTAGTGATTGGCAAAGGGTCATTGGAGGTGCTGAACTTGTAGCAATGCGGTGGTGGATGGGGGAAATGGTCAAGGCCCTGGGGTTGTCGGTACCATTGCTGGGACTGGCCTCCAATCTTCTAGCTCCTGGACCTGGGTTCTGTAGAGGTGCCAGGCTACCAGGTTAGCAAAACCTGAAGCTCAGTTTCTTTTATTGCTTCCTTAATGATTCACAGACATTCATTTATTCAACCCTGCGCACTTCCTCTGGGCCCGCTATTGCTCTAGAGATAAAGCAATCGCAATAGAAGCATGATGTCTGCTTTCACAGGTCATTGTCAGGCCTCATAAGTTTTCTTACCATGGCAAAATCACTAGAACCCATTCTGATCTTTGGGCTATCTCTGCATATCAATGATTATCTCTTAAATGATACATAATGGATTTGAATTGGGCTTTTTTTTGGGGGGGTCCTTTATACAGTTGTTTTTTTTCTTTTCAAAGTAAGTAATTTGTAGAGAGAGAATGTGAGATTTTGTGAAGATCATGTTCCACATCAAACGTGCACCAACTGCACATTTCCACCGATAATATTCTAACTCGACTGTCCTTTGTGTATTTGTTTGCATTCTAGAATCCAGGAGCTTCCTCTGCTCTCCTGTGACGGAGCAGTGAGGATTCATAGATTCTTGTGTGATCTTCTGTCCTTTGGGGACACATCCTTGTGATTCCTTGAGCGTTTCCTTCTTTTCTGGCATGAGATATTCCAGGCCCATCTTGTACCTTCTTGGCCTGTCCTGTGTTGGTCTCATTCTAGGGGCAGAGGTACTGTCACAGTGCCAGGGGCATTACTCAACCCAGCCATCCAGCTTGTGGTGACCTCCCACAGACGTTTCCCCATCTGAGATGTTGTGGCTGGACTGGCCCTGTGGTTCTAACTGTTGCAAGAAGTACCTCAGCAACAGCCCTCTGGGAACTTGGAAAAGAAAAGGCTTATTACTCACAGGTCCTGGCAGATACACAGCCCGCCTGGGGCCACACAGTGAGGTTGTAGGTGAGAGAGTGCTTGGATGTGGGGCCCTGCCTTTAGTGGGATCAAAGGTGGGGTGGGGTCAAGGGTGCCTAGGAGTTTTTGGGTTCACTATTGGGGAATTTGGAACATAGGCACAGGAAGTAAAGCATGGGAAGGGAAGAGCAAGCAGTTAAATAGTCGGCTCTCTAGATCAACTAGAGTTTTCTTAAAAAAAAAAGGAACTTCCTGGGTGGTGTAGGCTAGCTTTTTACACAATTGTTTGGCTGGCAATGTGTGTGTTTCAGATGGACATCTTTGAAGTAGATGCCTCAGCCATCAAAAGCTAATTGTCTGACGCTTACATTACAGTCAGTATAGCTAATTATCAGGTGCTTTCCCCAAACTGCCCCAACTTTAGAATAATCAGCCATTGCTCCAAAAAGCCCTGGTTCCTTTTAGGGAAGAAGGATATTAAAAAACAAGATCTGTGTGAAGGGGGTCAAGAGGCACATACGTACAGTTACGTAATAAGAAATACACAGTATGGTGACCATAGTTAGTAATACTGTATTGCATCTTTGAAAGTTGCTAAGAGAGTAGTTCTTAAAATTCTCATCATACAAAAAAATTTTTGTTAACTATGTATGGTAAAAGAAAAGAAAACCAAACCAAACCAAACCCTAGGATGGTGCTGGAATGCCCTTTGCTGCTGGTATGTCTTTACTTCTAGGGCTTCACAGCAGATAGGGAGTGTGTGTGTCAGCACATATCTAATTTCCCCCACCATCTCTATATATTTAAACATGTAAACTTTTTTTTTTAAACAAAGGCCATGAATATTGGATTCTGATTAGACAGAAATGTGCAAGATGGATATATGTCACTCTTTTCTCTTAATTTTTAACAGGTGGCTAAACCCCTTGTTTAAAATCGGTCGTACACGGAGGTTAGAGGAAGATGATATGTATTCAGTGCTCCCGGAAGATCGCTCGAAGCACCTTGGAGGAGAGTTGCAAGGGTAAGCAGCAGGCAGGAAGAGCAGGCTAAGGAGAAATGCAGATTGCCAAGTGTGCAGCTGTTGGTTTGGGGTGGAAGGCCCGCAGCCTTCCTACGGGCCGGGCTGGGGCCCACGCCCCCTGACACTGCATGCCCACCTCCCTCCGGCTGGCCCAGGCTTTGCCTACTTTGGTGGCCGGAAGTGGAGGAGCGTGTAGCAAAGGCCCTGGGTGCCAAGATGTGGGCCTGGAGGTGTGTCTCTGGAGGAGGCTGGCTGTGCTCATCTCTGCCTTCTTGGACTGCTCACAGCGCTCCAGATCCACCAAAGCTTATCAGTAGCATGTTCTGCGACATCGGGACAAGGCCTGTTTTCCTGGTGCTTCAGATTCTGCACCACACATCTTTCAGGAGCCAGGCAAACGCTTAGCCAGCATTTATGGGTCAGCCACAAAGCGCCCTGTGATGGATGCTCGTCTTTCACTCCGCCACCTCCCCGGGGTGGCCTTGTGGTTGGGTGTGCTGTTCTTCACCGAGGTGTGGTTCTCATTACAGGTGCTGGGATAAAGAAGTTTCACGATAAAGAAAAGAAAACCAAACCAAACCAAACCCTAGGATGGTGCTGGAATGCCCTTTGCTGCTGGTATGTCTTTACTTCTAGGGCTTCACAGCAGATAGGGAGTGTGTGTGTCAGCACATATCTAATTTCCCCCACCATCTCTATATATTTAAACATGTAAACTTTTTTTTTTAAACAAAGGCCATGAATATTGGATTCTGATTAGACAGAAATGTGCAAGATGGATATATGTCACTCTTTTCTCTTAATTTTTAACAGGTGGCTAAACCCCTTGTTTAAAATCGGTCGTACACGGAGGTTAGAGGAAGATGATATGTATTCAGTGCTCCCGGAAGATCGCTCGAAGCACCTTGGAGGAGAGTTGCAAGGGTAAGCAGCAGGCAGGAAGAGCAGGCTAAGGAGAAATGCAGATTGCCAAGTGTGCAGCTGTTGGTTTGGGGTGGAAGGCCCGCAGCCTTCCTACGGGCCGGGCTGGGGCCCACGCCCCCTGACACTGCATGCCCACCTCCCTCCGGCTGGCCCAGGCTTTGCCTACTTTGGTGGCCGGAAGTGGAGGAGCGTGTAGCAAAGGCCCTGGGTGCCAAGATGTGGGCCTGGAGGTGTGTCTCTGGAGGAGGCTGGCTGTGCTCATCTCTGCCTTCTTGGACTGCTCACAGCGCTCCAGATCCACCAAAGCTTATCAGTAGCATGTTCTGCGACATCGGGACAAGGCCTGTTTTCCTGGTGCTTCAGATTCTGCACCACACGTCTTTCAGGAGCCAGGCAAACGCTTAGCCAGCATTTATGGGTCAGCCACAAAGCGCCCTGTGATGGATGCTCGTCTTTCACTCCGCCACCTCCCCGGGGTGGCCTTGTGGTTGGGTGTGCTGTTCTTCACCGAGGTGTGGTTCTCATTACAGGTGCTGGGATAAAGAAGTTTCACGAGCCGAAAAAGACGCTCAGAAACCTTCGCTAACAAAAGCGATCATACAGTGTTACTGGAAGTCCTATTTAGCTTTGGGAATTTTCACATTAATTGAGGTAAAAGCTCTTCCAGTGTGTTGTTTTTCTGTGTATGCAGATGGGTTCTGAGGTGGCCGGTGCTTCCAAGAGCACACACTTCTCTGGCTGCCCATCCTTTCAGGGGGCCGGGGGCCATGAGCAGCATGTCCTCTGGAGGAGCACCGGGTTCAATGTGGATTCCAGGGGACTTAAGTGCCACCCAGTCTTGTTTGTTGTCCCTGGTGGTTGGGGTGACTTGCTGGTTGGAAGATTAAGCCTTGGTAGCCTGGCCTTGTACATAGTGCAGGAGTGGCTCTGCAATGGAAACCCAAGGGCAGGAAGCCCTGAGGTCAGTGGCCTCCATCCCCTTGGAGGGCCTCAGTCAAGATCCCCCAATAAGGCAGCCTCCTACCTGGGGCACAGTGCCAGTTAGCCTGCTGTTCTGGGCTGCGGCCTGCTGGAGGTATGCTGAAGATCCGCCTGCGTGGCTGGTACTCTCCGTGGTACCTTAGTACTGCCTTAGGGACATTGGTGGTCCTGTGAGTGTATGAGAAATTGCATTGCTATGAGGGTTGTTTTAAGATGAGAAGGGAGGTGAGTTGTCATGTTGTCATGAGTACATCTTCTTGGGGGTGAGATGGGTGGGCCTATTGATTGGCATGTGGGGGGTATAGTTCCTATTTAAAAGTCACTGTGGAAAGGGGGTTGCTAGGTCAGTGATCTCTGCCCCATCAGACTGGAGGAACCCAGGGCATGTCACCTGACAGGTGACTGGGTGGTCCCGGGAGATCGAAGTACTCAATGATGAAGATGGCCAGTATGCTAGAGTGTGGGGACAGGTAGACAGGGCAGAGGCCACCTTTGAGAGGGCACTGACCACCACCTTGGTACTGCTGTGGCTATGTGGGGCAGGGTCAAGATGCAAAACTGTGGGGCTGACTTGGGGCTGGGAGAGGGTGCAGGAGCCCCATAGGCTGTCCCTGTCTGTCTTTGATCTGTGTGTGCAGGTGTCCCAGTGATTGTGTTTCTACGTGGTGACAATAAGTCTCAGTTTGAAATGTGCAGGGTGGCAAGCTGGTATCATTGTGGCCCATGTGTGCAGGGTTTCCTGACCAAATGTGGCTGCTGACCTTGTAGAGCAGGGCACTCCTGATTTGTGCCTGTCAGGAAGCCCCAGAGCCCAAGGCCAGGGATCTGGTTGGATGGGCAGGAGCCAGTGCTGCATCGTATCCTGGGGCAGGCCTCCCTGCTGCCGCTGGTCTCCAGGTTCCCTTTGCTGCCAGGCCTTACCCTCATGGGCATCGGCTCCTTGGGGTGGGGTCTCTAAGTCCCAGATGGTGACTAGATCTCATCTCAAAATGAGCTGCGGGCCTTTGCTGCGGCTATGGGAGAAGTAGATTCAGGTAGGGGCTGAAGGAATGGGGCCTCTCCCTGGAAGAGGTGAGGCCCTGAGAGGGTGCCAGGAGTGCTGATTTCCAAGTTTTCCCACCCTGGAGCTACTTACTGCTGGGGGCTCCAGGAAGGCCAGGCCTGGGGGCTGAGTGAGGGCGCAGCTGGGAGAGGGCTTTAGGAGGCTGCTTGTCAGGCAGGCAGGGCAGAGAAGTGAGGCACAGAGTAGCCTGCACACCTGGGGCTCGTCCTCAGCCATGCTGGTGAGTGGCAGCAGCCATACCCCTTGGTGGGGTGCATTGTCTGGGCAAGGGCGAGAACCCCAGGTCAGTGGGTAGTGGCAGGGGTGTGGGGGGGCACCTTTGCATATGCAGGGTGTGCCACAGGCCTGAGGTATTACATGACAGGCTGGGTAGATCCAGATAGCGCTGGGGGCAGGTAAATTAAACGTGAAGTGGAGCTGGGCTTTCTCCTGGGAGGGTGCTTGCTTGTTCGTGCTGGGTTTGGGCCAGTATCTTGGTGGTTTATGGTATAAAACTAGACGATGGCCTAGATTCTGTAGGTGAGCATGATGTCTGGCATGTGATGCTTTCTAACTTTGTGCATTTAAGATACCAACTGGCAGAACTCTTAGTTCTGATGCAGTAAAGCTCAGGGAGCCATGAGTTGTTAAAAGCTCAAGTAGAAGTAAGCCTTAAATTTTTTTTCTGGCAACCTGAAGGAAGCCTGAAATCCAACACACACATGCTTTTGTTTTCCTAGACCTCCTCGTTAACATGGCTGTTTTGGAAAAGTTAGCAATGATTTTTTTATGGTGAAGCTCATAAGAATCTGTTAACAGGTGCAGTTGAAGCTTTCCATGATTAAAGCTCGTGACTGGGTTAGATGGGATGAACGTTAGTTTAATACTTGATTTTGTGAAGCGACTTCCCATTTCGTGATCTTAGATCTGTACTGCTTGTCAGTCTTTGTGCCGTAGGTAGCAGAAGTTCTAAGCTAGGCCTAGAGTTTTCTGAATAGCTCAAGGCTCTTGGATTATCCATGATTTCCAAGCAGTGTGCTTGTCCTAACCTGAGCATAGGCAGGGCCTTCCTGGGCCCTGCTGGCAGGTCCAGGGAGAGGCTTTTGAGGTTGGGATTTGAAGTAGAGAAAATCTCCATCCTATGAGGATTCTGGAATGATCGTAATGCTCAGAGAAACAAGTTGCAGGCTGCTGTTGAACACGGGGTTCTTGCAGGCCCACGCTAATTGGAATGGAACAGTCCGCGAGCTCCCAGTGCACCTGGCCCTGGCGTGTACCCCCATGGGGACCGCAGTGGGTTTGGGCAAGTCTCCTGCCAGAGCCCTCAGACTAGAGACAAGGAGCCTGAAGCCTCCTGCCAAATGATGGAAGAGGCCACCATCCACATCATCAGGGCCTTTTTGAGAGAGGACATCTCTGTCTGCTGGTGTGTTACTTGGGTGGCAGGTGTGGGGTGTCCCAGCCTCTTCCCCTGAGAAGGGAGAAGTGACTAGGGGATAGGTCCTATTCCCGGGACCCTTAGGAATGGGGTCCAAGGTAGCTGCTGGCTTTGTCCAGTTACTTGGCCTTTTTCTGGGGCCACTTACGCCCATTGCTGTCTTACAGCAGCCACCTGATGAGAGAAAAATGTTCGCGTCAGTCTTCACGTTGGAACTCAGCTAATGGGCAAGAAGTGAACAAAATCCTCTGAGTTCACTGGTGCAGTCGTGCCTCCACTCGGAGGTGATTCCCTAAGAGCTAGCTATTCTGGGTCCTTCACATTTATTTCCCAACTTTTCCTCTAAGTGTCCCTCACCTTCACTCAACCCAAGAGGCAGAGAAGTGGGTGCTCGTGGTGAGGATACTGTTGGCCGGCAGCGGTCCCTGAGGGCCACACAAGCCGGACCCCACGAGGAAGGCAGCCAGGAGACGAGAAGAGCAGACCTGCCGTTGTCTGCCTGCTGGTCTGTGGGTGTGCAGTGTTGGCTTGGTAATGCCCGTGGTGGTGCCCTGAGTCCTAAGCGGGTAATGCTTCTCAATCCATTTTCTTTAAGAAGTCAGGGAAGCAGGTGACTCATTTAGAAAAAATTGCATTCATAATGGTTAAATTAAAAAAAAAAAACTGCTTAGAAGTGAAACTTGTAATAACTCCCTAGAAAAGTTGTTTTATGGTGACTTTTCTTCTGAGTTCTTATTCTACTATGATGGCCTGTAAGTGGCCATGGTTTTTCTTTCCTCTCTGGATATTTCTCAGCTCTCCCTTTGTGTCTTGTTCCTGCGTTTTAGAAAGTTAACTGCCTCTGCATTTTTCCCACAAGCTCACTCTTTTCTGCTTATCTGTTTCACTCAAGGGTTTTTTGGTTTGATAGCTTGTTTCTGTTTCCTGTGTTTTCTTTTTTTTCTCATGAATCAGGGAAAGTGGGATTGGGCAAGAATTGTGGTGGAGGAACTGTGCCCTTTGGGGAAATTTTATTATCATTTAGCCATGTAATAAGTTACTCTGTGCACGCCTCTAGATTTTCATTTCAGTAAACTCTTAAAGAGCCTATTTTACAACCTACCACATTAGGGGGGTTTCCATAAACTCTTAATGCCTTTTGGGATGAATGAGCATGCCGGAAATGTATTGGCCTTTGTGTTCTTGAGATCTGATCCTTTTACTGATGCTTCACCTGAACAGTGTTCCCTTACCTCTGTATAGTAGAAGAAAACTTCCGTGACCTCATGGAAGGTGACATAGTAAAGGCTGTGAAAGTGTGTATGGTGTGTGTACAGCAGGACAGGAATGGTGGGTTTCATGTCACATCCATTGGAGGGATGGGAACATCTTTCTGTACATATACTGAGCAGGCGCTGGTTGGTTGAAAAAAAAAATGCATGTTGGTTTTGTCTCATGTTCAGTTTTTTTGGCTGTCCTTTTGTGCATAGGTTCCTCCCTCCAGACAGACAGGAGAGAGCATTACAAGCAAACTTGTCAGTTATCTACCACGTCTGTGTTAATTAGGAGGCATTGCTTACAGGAAATGCTTGTTTTAAAGTTGAGTTCTTGAAAAATTTCCAAACTTTCAGCATTTTGTCTTTGGAGAAGTCCTTGGAGGAAATGATGTTTATGGCCTATGTGTTTACTTTTGCTGACCCGGACTTGCCTTGAGTTGTGCTTGGTTTTCTTTGATGGGGGAGAGGAAGTAGGTTGTGGGGTGGACTGGCCATTGGGCAGGGAGGGAGGGGCAAGTTTTGATGTTTCTTTGCCTCTAGTCTTCGGGAAAAAAATTGCTCTTCCTAAATCTTATTCAGGAGCTAAGTCCCAGTGTCTCCCAACTCATTGGTGTAGGATTTTAATTTTTGATGTTGGAGAATAGATGATTGTAGTATTTCTTCAAAATCAGCACCTGCAATGTATGACTGATGGAGAACCACTGGTGCCATTATCTTTAATAACGCTTGGCTTCCACTGTGTTTAATCTTGACTCCAAGGAGGCAGTACTTCTGGGGACATCCCAGCTTCTAGGTGAAGAGAGGTATTCAAGTAACACCCCCTGGGGCGGAGGGCCTGGGAATCTCCCAAGCCTGATTCCTTTTGAGTACTCTCAACGAGCTGGACTCTGTTCTCTTGATCTGCCAACGTGTGGAATTTGGGTTGGGAAGGATTAGAGAGTTCTCTCTCCTGAGCTACGTTTGTGCCAGTATCTCAGTTCGCAAAGGCTCTTAAAGCAGAAGGCGGTGGCGGGATTGTGTCTCCCATAAACGAGCCATTCTTGACTTCTCCTTTGCATTGGGATGTGGAGAATACAGAGGAAATGGGCAGGCTGTAAGCTGGGCTATCCATACATAAGCAAATTCCAGAGCTTGCTTTTGCCACTTTTTTCCAAATTCACCTTAGGCTGAGACTTATTTGATACTTTGCCACATAAGTTCTAAAACCCTGGTGGTGGTAATATTGATTGAGCACGCACAGTGTACCAGGCACGGTGTACTAAAGCTGTATTGTCTTCAAGCTTACGATTTGGGTTTAAGGTTACAACTGTGATCTGCCTGTCTTAAGAAAGTAGTTCTTTTAGATTCATGATGAATACAGCACTGTCGATATGTCAACATGATAATAGAAATAAAGCTTGTGATAAGAAAAACTGGTATGACTTGTATTTCTAATAAAGGCTTTTTTCCTTTTAGGAAGTCATCAAAGTAATCCAGCCCATATTTTTGGGGAAAATTATTAATTATTTTGAAAACTATGATCCCAGCGATTCTGTGGCTTTGCACGAAGCCTACGCCTATGCTGCGGTGCTGACTGCCTGCACGCTCGTGTTGGCCATACTGCACCACTTATACTTTTACCATGTTCAGTGTGCTGGCATGCGCCTAAGAGTAGCCATGTGCCATATGATTTATCGGAAGGTAAGTGCCATGCGGGATCAAAATGCGTACTATTCCTGAAGCATCAGAAGCCTTTTGGGAAAGCTGCATGTAAAATTGTAAATAGAATCATTTAAATCTTACAAGAGAAACTTGCTACTCGTAATGACTAATTTTTTTTTTTCCTTTAAGCAAACTTTACCGATATGTAAGTTTCCTCTGACGATCAGGTCTGTGCTGGTTTTGATAATGTTTGGCCACAGGCTGTTGAAAATGGTGTATTTGTTACAAAATCTAATTAAAAAATAAGTATTAAAAAAATAAGTATCAGACTGATTTAGGCATGAGAGATTTTCAGTGTTTTCATGCCTAAATCTCATAGTTGTCTTTATGCAGATTTCGTTGTGCTCATTACTGGCTTCGTTTTATACCAAAGTTGTATTTAAAGGTGGCTCTCAGTGATACTGGAGCTATAAAATTAAATCTAGGAGACATGATTGTATTTGAGAAAGGGAATGATTATATTTTCTAAATGAACCATTTAATCATGTTCAATATGATTTTGTTAACATAAAAGTATAAATGGAATCATGCCAAGTACAGTGCTATTAACTGTGTTCTCTAGTTATAGTTGTTTTTAGTAGTAGAGAAAATAGTTGGCTGTTTGGGATAAAATTGAAAATTTTACATTTTTTAAAGTAATTTTGGAGAGAACTTATGGCTTTATCTACTTTTATGTTGCTTTTCAGTCGTTACTATTTTATATAGTGTTTCCTTTTCCTTTCATATGCATTATAGCAGTTTTAACGATAAGACCTGATTGGATGTGTTCAGTGTTTTTATATGAAAACAATGCTTAAAAGTCTCCCATAGTTTATCCTGGGTTAACTACTACAAAAGGGGTTAAGGATTTCAGGTATCTTTAACAAAGGAGTTGCCATGGATACATCATCAAGGGCTGAAGGGCTCTTTACAGATTTGACCCTGGATATCTCTTTGCTCTCGGCTGTTTGCTTTAAAAAAAGAAAGAAACCCCACTTAACTGTACTGTACACTTGAAATTTGCCAAGAGAGTATATTTTAAGTGTCCACAGCACACACAAAAGGAAAAGCCATGTGAGGTGATAGATAGGTTAATTAGCTTGACCACAGTAATTATTTCCCAATGTATATGCATATTGAAACAGCACATTGTGCACCTTAAAGACATAATTTTTATTTTAAGATCCTCATGGGAAGAGAAAACCAAACAATTTGAAGTTGTCAAAGTTGCTGCATATCTAGAGCTGCCGTTTCTTGTGAATACTTTCTTGCAAATTGCAAGATATCTTCTCCACATCTTCGTTCCAGCAGAGTCTAATGAATTAGGAACTGCGTGAATCCTGGGGCATGGCACTATGTTGTCAGTGGTCGGCTGCAGCGTGTCAGCCCAGCGTCTTCGGTGGCGCAGAAATGGCAGGGCTCCCCAAGTGCAGGGGTCAAGGGGCCTTCGTTGTTGCCACGGCCATCCCATCACCTTCTTTGTTCTGTTGTGCTCCTCCTTTCTGCCATTTGGAAGAAGGCTATGCAGATTTCTATAAATTTGCTAGGTTTTTGTCTTCCCAGATTGTGCTTAGCTACCATAAGTCACTAAAACTCCTCTGTGAAAACTATAAACACTGAAGCCAGGATTGAGGTGACGGTTCCATCGAACAGAGCTCTTTGCTCACAGCTGCATTGTTGTCCCCCTGTTTTTCTTTGCCTTCCCACTAACGCTTTGGACCTTTGCCTTTGGGAAATCTGATCTGACTTGGCACATATGCTTACCTGAGTGTAAACATCTCCCAAAGGCATTAATTTGCCGGCTTGATTAGCCTGAAAGAATCATCCGTTTTTGAAGTCAAGAATTACTTGGGTTAAGCCATAGACTTCACTTGAAATTCCAGAAACATGGGAAAGACAGATTTCCTTATGCACTGCCTCGGATCTGGAATCCTGCTGAGGTGAAGAAATAAGACACCTCATCGCAGGTGGGCTGATTCCTCCAGACAAAAGCTGGTGCTGCAGGGCAGCTCTGAAAGGCCTCTGTGTGAACACCTGCAGGTTGGGCTCAGGACCCATCTCCCAATCCCCTGGTCTGGGGAGAAAATCAGGGTGTTATAAATGGAATGGCTGCTAAGGACATAGTTGTAGTCTGTGATATTGAATGGCCTCATGGGATGTATCATACTTAAAAATGGCTTCCCTTTGTTTGCCTTTGCATAGCTTCGGTGAAAGAACTTTTGGCTTTTGATCATTGATTATTTTTTATTGTGATAAAATATGCATAACAAAATGTACCATTTTAACTCTTTGAGAATATAGTTCAGTGGCGTTAAGTACATTCACATCATTGTGCAGCCATCACTACCAGGACTTTTTCATCTTCCTAACTGAAACTCTTCCCATTAAACACTCCCTAGTCCCCTCCCCATAGCCACCACCTTTCTCCTTCCTGTCCCTATGAACTCACCTACTTTAGGCACCTCATATAAATGGAATCATACAGCATTTGGCATTTTGTGTCTGACTTAAGTCATGTAGCATGTCTTCATGGTTCATCTATGTTATGGCATGTGTTAGAATCTAATTCCTTTTTAAGGCCGAATAATATCCCATTGTAGGTATATACCGCATTTTGTTATCCAGTCATCTGTCGGTGGGCATTTGGGGTTACCACCTTTTGGCTATTGTGAATTTTGCTGCTGTGACCGTGGGTGTACGGTAATCTCTTGAGGTCCATGCCTTTGATTCTTTTGGTTATATCCCCAAATGTGGAGTTGCTGGACTATATGGGAATTTCATGTTTAATTTTTTGAGGAGCTGTCATACCATTTTCCACAGTAGCTGCATTGTTTTACATTTCCACTTGATCACTGATTTTTCTGTTTAGCCTGAGGACTATATGAAGAGATGTTCTTAGGAAATATGCCGTTTTGTTTGGATCAGTGGGTTCAGTGGGTGGTCTGTTGAAATAGCTCATGGTGGTCTGCTCCTCAAATCTCTGGAACATTTTCCAGAACTTTTCACCAAATAAAGGGATCGTGCAGGACAGGCATGTTTTTGTAGACAACAGATTGGTCTTAAGGACACAAGCTCCTCATAGTGACAGTGTTTGAACATTATACTTGCACATTTTAGAAAGTCACTACCAGTCACTGGTCATATTCCCAGCATGAGCTGCAGTGGCTTACTTTCCATTTCTCTCAGCTGGGACACAGAAGAAAGAGGACCCGTCCAGCTTCATATCTCAAGGAGCTGCTCTCTCCATACCCCTGGCCATAGGAAGTGGGGTCCAGGCCAGGGGAAGATGGTAGCTTCTGGCTAGGTGAGCCTGGATCAAAGCCCACTGACCATCTCCAGTCTTGGCAGTAGTGGGAATGGATCTCCCATTTGCCAGCCCTGACTTGGCTTTGGGCCTGGGTTGGAAGTGAACCTGATGTTATAGGCCTCCAGACCTGGGGCAGGAGGACATACTCAATAACCAGGCTGGACTCATCATGCATATAGCATGGAGGTTTTTCCTAAAGGTTGTTAGCCTAGTTACTCTAGGTTTCCTGACTTTGTGTCCAGTTGGAAGAACTGTGGCAGTTCCTGCAGTGGTTCCCGATGATGGCTTGGCTTGCTGTCAGTGCCTGGCAGAGCCACAGTAGTGCATCATTGAGCTTGCAGATGCTGCTCTCTGCTACGTGTTTCCTGGTGCCGACCTCCTTGCAGAATCAGATCCGTCTGGCCAGATGTGTTATTCTGGCTAAAATCTAGTCTTCAGTTTCTTTTGAATCTCCCAAAGGAGAGTTTGTGGGGGAATATTTGTTCTTCGTTTCTACTTCTAAGATGAGTTGACTCACTGCAAACAGCCTGGTTTCACTTACCTTTTATTTTGGATCTGATAAGAATTTATGTGCCGTCAATCCTCATTTTCTGCAGATTCTGTATTTGCTAATTTGCTGCTTGCTAAAGTTTATTTGTAACCCCAAGATCAATACTTGAGGTTCTTTCATGGTCATGTGTGGGCACGCACACTGCCGCTGAAATTTTGGGTCACCTGACGTGTGTTCTCAGCTCGGGTCAAACAAGATAATGCTCTGCCTTTTCTTTCGCAGCTCTTGTATTGTAAACAAGTGTCCTTTTCAAGGTCTATTTGTGCTTGTTCTCTGCATTTTTGTGCTCTTTCTTGGCGATTTTGCTGATTAAAACGACCCTGTCACAGAGTGCTGTGGATGCCGTCCGGCGGTCCTAAGCACGAAAGGAGGGCCATGATGCCTTATGTAGAAAATGCCCATGTTAGATGAGCTTGGTTCCCGCATGAGTTACAGTGCTGTTGGCCGTGAGTCCGATGATAATGGATCAACAATAGATATTAAATAAGATGTCTTTAAACAGAAAGACATATAACGGGAAGTTATGTATGTATTGATCCGTTGGTGGACATGTTGTCACCAAAGGCTGGCAGAAACCTCACCCTACACCTGCCCCAGGAGCAACTGGGATTCACAAATTCATGTTCTCAGTGACTTTGTAGAACACAACTACTGTGAACAGTGAGAATCAGCTACTAATTTTACACAACACAATCAAGGGAGTGACTTCTGTCAATCAACATCCTGTTAAGAGACATATTTTTACTTACCTTAAATGTATTTTTAATCATTCAGTGATGTCCTTCTGTTTTTAGAAATCGGTAATTTGGAGAAGCATGCATGCTCCTAAATCACACCATTTAGATTTCAGAGTTTTAGGTACTCTTCATCTTTCTGAGGCAAGGACTCTTTCCCTTTCCTTTAATCTTTTTTTTTTTTAAGATCCTCTTTTTTTGACCATGTGATCCTCTTTTTCAGACACTTGTCTAGCTCAGCCGTATTTTAGGGTCAGTGGGTAGGAGAGCAGGTATTCTTTGTCTCCACTCTGAGGAGGGAGTGGAGGAACCCGGGCAGGGTGCAGAGAGGGGCTGGGCTGGCTTCTGAACGTTATCTGCAGCCCTCTGCCAGAAAGGGAGCCCAGGTTTAAAAAACCTGTGCCGTGGA